ATATGTCAACGTATCTTTAGCATTAACCTTTGAAAAAATTGAACAGGGCGTCATTACTTTAATATTTATTTACATAACTTATAACTATAAGATATTAACAATATAATTGGCTGTCTTTATTTACACGTAAATTTTGTTAAGAGACCGCTTTTAAACTGCTCTGTCTTTGTTAAATTTATACTTTACAGTACACAAACAATTTCAAAACACTTCACGTGTAAGCTGAAGCTTAATGTTTATTCTTTTAACTAGAAATACTCGTATTATTATAAAGTAAATCGGTTGACCGTAGTCGTTATCACAATGATATAATGTAAGAGGCGGACCTAAAGTAAATGAAAACGATGTTAAAATAGTAATTGTTTACTCCTCTTTTACAAAATGCGCGTGACAGTATATTAATCATAGTATTCTATAAAATTTTATCTTTATCATGGTTTGATGATTTATATTTTCCTACTCTTGGGGGCATCATGATTTGGCTTTGTCCGTCAGTGTTTCCGTTCACATGTTGTGTCGCATGTAGCTTAAAAGTATTCGACATAGTGTCATGAACGTTTACAGCAATGTTGGTCAGCATGTGTAGTTGAGTTACATTTGATTGGCGTGCGGATTAAATCAGTTTTAAAGAGTTATTGCCCTTAAATAAGTAATTTCTTTTGCAATTTTAAACTATTGTCACGTGTAGATATAAATGTTTGTCCTAGAGTCATACAACGTTACGGAAATGTTAGTCAGCATGTGCTGTTGTTCAACTTGGGGTTCGCTTGTATTTTTATTCAGATTTATAGAGCAATTGCTCCCTATTTAGTCAGAAAACGCTCCCACGAGTTGTGTCACACGTACCCCTCAATGTGCTTGAACTGAGCACATGGGGCTTCGCGTGTGTATGCTTTCATTTTTGTTAGAGTAATTGCCCATGAGTTAGTACAAATTAGAAATTTCCAACTTGTGTCAAAATGTTTTGAACTGGAGTCATTAAATTGTTTAGGAATGTTGATCGGCAGGTGAAGTTTATTCACTTGGATGTCTGCTTGTGGATTTATTCAGTATTTCTAGAGTTATTGCCCATTACTCAGTAAAGAATTTACAATTTTAAACTTGTTCTTGCGTAACTCAAAAGGTATTTGACTTACAGTCATGAAATTTATAAAAGACTCTTGGACAGCATGTGTAGTGATGTACCTTGAGGTTTGCTTGGTTTGTTTTCTTTAAAGCACACTTTATGATATAAAATTTAGATTCGAAATTTGTTATTTTAAATTAAGATGGTTACATTGAAAAATTGGATGTCGTTTTAATGCCCAAGCCAATAAGGTGTTGAAGATGTCATGAAGAGTCTTCCACGTCTATACCTCTGTCGTATTGTTCTGCTGTAAGTCAGAACATTTGAATGTGGGTGTTTCTGTGTCCTATGGACACATTGCTAGTTGGCACTGGCGTTTGTCTTTTGAAATTAAAAGTAAAATTGTCAATGTATACATGTAAATTTATTTTTACTACAAGTAGTTTTTCATTTCGTAATCTACTTGCACATGCACCTTGACTTGTGTATTGCTCCCGTTGTATTTTTAGTTAGGGTTCGTCACATCAACATTTTAGCGTCTATCCAGGTAATTCTAGGACAATAAGCGTAAATGTGCCTTTGTCCTATTGTACTTTTGAAGTGGAGCGATTCAAGAGAAAACATCGGACTCCAATATCTTTTTTGTGAAATATCCACCACCAACTTTTCTAACGTACACGTGTTTAGTTTTGGTAAAATTGCCACATCAGAATTCACAAATAACTTCTTCTCATTACTATTAATTTATTCTTATCGGACGTAGTTGATCTTCTCTTTCTTATCAGGGCCAAAAATAATCTAAATAAAAAGTGGCATAACTTTGCAAAATATAGCTTAAGGATTATCTATTTTTTGATATTGAAAAACACGATGATAGTGAACTAGAAAACCGAGTTGTTTCAGAAAAATGATGACTCTAACCTAAAACCTGTATTTAATATCACAATGACCATTGATCTTTTGACTTCAAAATAAAGCCTGGTTGAACTCATCAAGGTGTATTCACAAATTATTAGTATAGAAGTTAAGTGCCATAAACAAAAACTTAACCAAAAAAATTAACCAACACTGATGCTGACGAGTACGTCATGAAAATAACTTTACTTTTTTTTCTTCGAAAAATGGAGCTGAAAATGGTGGATAGCGACGAACATAGAGGGGCTCACTGTCTAATCCTCGAGCTTTGCCTAGTTTGAAACATTCGAAATTGTCAATAAAAAACAATCACTATCATTCGTAATTTAATGAATATGGAAAAATGTTAATGCAAATTGAAGGCTTCGTTAAATCTTTGTCTCGTTCAAAGTAGAAGTGATGTAAAATAATTTAACCAGGAAAATCTGATATGCATAGTTTGATAGCGTATTTTAAACGTCATACGTATAAATATGTGCTGTGTAATAGTTGCTACTTATTTAAGTGCAGGTAAGTTAGAATTAATATAAATCAAAACTGGCAACTGCTATTTATTCTATATTAAATCGATTTGTTTTCTATGCAGTTTCTAGGTTATATAGATTACATAACCTGAAAGTGTTAAGTTAAAGAGATCTTGGTGTGTTTTATAACAGTGCATGGTATAGAGATTATACCGACAGGAACATAATCACGAAGGCCGTAGGTTTAAATGATAATTTACAAACAACGAAACGATATAACGTGGAGATTACACTCAAAACAAAGTTCTTTTTTCAATACGGCACGACAATGTATTTTCGGACTACATAATTGTTTACGGTTTAATGGCTGATCCAGACGGCTGAAAATGATACGTCGATATTTTTTCTGTTTGCGCAAATCTTTTGAGAATTAAATTTTGAACGTTTTGTGTCTATATTCATTATCATACATTTGTTGTAAAGTTGGATTCCAAGTACAACAGGTTATATAATCATAATGTTGCATAAAATTACCCATTAAGTATAGCATATATAATCTTCATATATATTTTCGCAGAAATATTAAGGGTTTAAACTTTTACTTAGATTTAAGTTTATTTAAAGGTTTTATGATAATGAATATGTAAATTGTTTTATATACATTTCATTCTTATCATTCACTAGTTTAATGTTGATGATGTTATTAAGTAACTTTTGAGAACTTATTGATACACTCTTTAAAAGTAACTTAGCATGGCCTAAGGCTCTTTATATACAATATATAAAGAATGGTTCTTTTTTTCACTTATACTGGCCTTTAAACTTAGTGAGATACATCTTGTTCATTTAGCATTTACATATGTTTATAAATATGTTTAGTTGATATTAGTTACTAGTTTTATTGTAACAAATATTTTGTAAATCATTATTATTTCAATAATCATGGTCAACATTCTCCATGAATCATTATCTATTTTAGTATAATTATGTTAAGCCCTAATGAGCTCTAATTGGCTAAAATTCCTTACCAAATCAGAGTGTTTCTGCATTTTACTGGTTCCATTAACGTTCTGGTTGCGGGTACATAAATACAGGCGCTCTGCAGAACTTTGGCATTCTGCTGCTAATTTTTTGAAAAAGTCACATCTGTAAAAGCTCTCTAAGGTTAATAAATGAATTATTTATTAATTTATTTTAGGCACTTTTGCATATAAATGAACCTTAGAGATTATCGTAATTCACTGAAACATTTTTTGATAATTTGTAAGTAATTTCTTTTAACAGAATTAATTAAGATTAATTAATATCTTCTCTTTGGTTTAAGTTGTTGCCAACCTGAATTATTATATCTTTATTTTTGTTGATATTGATTAAAACAGAGCTTGCCTTTATTCAGATTTATTAGTTTAAGACACAGCATCATAATAATAAGGTTATTTTTCATATTTTCAGTTATTATATTTTTAACAACTTTCAACTTGTTTAAATCTTCTATTCGACTAGTTATTCTGATTTTCACATGTTTGGTTAAATAAGAACAGTTTTATTAAAGTGATTATTGTAAACTAATTTAGCTTTAAGTAACTTTTAGTTAAGTGTAAATAAAAACTTGGTTCATTAAAAGCTTAGTTGATTTAATTTACTCAACCACTTCCATTTGCATTCAGGGGTTGGTGTCATCCTGACGATTAGATTTATTGCATTACAGAGTCCTCCTGAGCAAAGTAAGAACATCAAAAAGTAAATATTAGGTAATAAGTAACTGCATTCAATTTATAGAAAACAAAAAGCCTATTAATTTTTTAACACCACAGCAATGGTGTCAGAAGTGGGATCGAGGTCTGCTTCTATTTTTAGAAACGATAATTTATATATTTTTGTCACTACAATACAATCAGGAAAATATTTTTATAAATAGCTTAACACGACAATACTTTAAAGAAAAATAAGTAGATAACTTTGTCCATTATTTTTCAAAAAAAGTTTAACAATAACAAGTGAAACTGTGTTTTGATTATGTCAGCAGTAATAGAACTATCTGTTATGTTCGCTTTATACATACAAATATGCACTTGAGTGCTGCACTTTAGTAACGAATATGCGAAGTATACGGAAAAGCGTATTGTTGTGAAATAACGCGCCAAACTTGCATTCTTTGATTACATACAAAACAATATTAGAATAAACTATATATCAAAGAGTCACTTAATCATTATTTACTGTTTTAACACTTTATAGAATATATAGCAATTAACACATTAAAAAAACTACTGGTGCAAATTGAACTTTTCAGTTATTGTCGTCATGTAATTAACTGAAATACTAGAAGTCAGACTTTAAAAGAAAGCTTTGTTTATTCTTATAAGTATCTAGCTAACAATTTGGACATTAACATGATATAATAAATCATATATGAAGTAAAGCAATGTTCATTTTAAAAAAGCACTTCAAAGTAACTAGCTATCAATTTGGTCATCAACATTTTACATGTATAATAATAGAAATTAAATAAATTTTCAAATATCAATCATGTTTGTAACTTGTATTTGAAAATATCAACGTAGTTCTAAAACTGTTAGTATATTAGAATTCCCTGCTAACATAATTGCATGTTTGACACAATCATATTGCATCGTAGAATAATCAATATCACTTTCGAATTGTAAAATAACTCTGCAAGACCTTGAACAAGGATGAACTTGTACAATCTTTTTCTGATTACTTCCTTTTTGAATTTCACCAAATATAAAGACATTATCATGAAAACCTACACATAAACGTATCTGATTTCCTATTAATACACCTTCAATATCAGGAATGTCTAACATGAATAAATTGTTTCCTAAGTTGTCGATACTAATAAGTTTTTTCGCATCGGTCATAATAAATATCATACTTCCGTCATTCCTCACTGCAATATCAATGAATTCGAGCATTGTGTGTCTTGACTCATAAAGATCTTTTAGAAAATCACCATCAGTTGAATAAACATACACTGAATATTTGTCTATAACATAAAGTTTGTCATCATAACAGGCTAATGAGTAGCATTTGTGAGATATGCTGCGTGAATTGATCAGTGACATATCTTTTTTGATATTAACAAACAGTAGCTGATCCTGGTTCAATATAACAGCAATATCTTTCCCAGTGTAACATACACATGAACGCAACACTCCATTACCTATTTGCAAGGTACTGATTACTTTAAAATCTATGTTCAGTTTTATAAGTTTACCTGAATACTCAATTAACAAAATTTCTCCTGAAGGTAAGATAGAAAAACTGATAATCCTACAACGATTAGAGGAGAATATCTTAGAACGAGAAATTCTATATTCCCGAAAACCTTTTACAGACCTTAGATTATTTTCATCAACAGTTGCACCAGCTTGTGTAGAGTTTCCTTCCGGTAATACGTCCAAACTGAAAGATATATAAAAAAACTATATACAGTACAAGACTTCGCATACGGAACAAATGAACTTCAAAATTCAATTTTTGCTTTTCATATATTTACAGTTTAACTTATCAATAGACACCATTGCAAAAAAGATTACAAAAATATATCTTATGAAGATTTATAAAAGACATTTGCACACAAGAAGCCGTACATATACCTATTGTTGTTATCACGAACATTAGTAAGAAAGACAAAATGGATAAATACATTTACGGAAAGACTGTACGATATGTCTTTTAAGGCTTGACTTAACATAGTTATAAAAAACTTTGATTCTAGTTACAGATTCTAATTATGAAATAACAACGGCCTTAGAGGTGTGTATCGGCTATTTAACACCGGTTTGGAGTTTTGACGCGCAGGAATTGACCACGAAGGCCGTAGGCCTGAGTGGTTAATTTTGTCGCATCAAAACGACAAAACTGGTGTTAAATAGCCGATATACACCTCTAATGCCGATGTTATTTCGATTCTAACACGATCAAATAAGACAAATCACTTAATGTTATTTTTCAAGCGGAAATAACTTCCGGTGCCGATTTTCGTGTAATGCTGTTCGATTTTCGCACCCTACTACTGCGAGGATATAGACATTATTAAACAAAAGAAATAATAGGAAAAAAAACGTTATTTTATCAAGTTTTCAACAATAAAATCTTACGTCGTATTGTGTTTACATCAGTGCCCCATTTATCATTCTTGTATGTATGAAATAACGTCAGCTTGTTTATGAATGAGTTGTTTACTTAGGTTGACGTCATTACGCTGCTTACGGATTGGCGCCGTTTTTCAAAATATTTATTAAATGATATGGATCTAATATGTGGCGTTAGTGTATGTGAGATATTATTTCGGTATTCTATGAAAAGAAAACATTATACGAACTGAAAATATCGATAAAAATGCTTTTTATTGTTGCTTTAAAATGCCTTGTAAACTATACAATCGAGGGTGAAAACATAACAGCGCATATACAAGTAGTCCCTAACCGGTGTTTATTGGCAGTTTAATACCAGTTTTTTCCTTCTTTGTCTATAGTGGCAAAATCACGTGAGTGTTAGAATATTGTGCATATCAAGCAATGAAATGTATTACAAATATCTAAGTAGAACAGACAGAAATGAGGTAGAGCATGTCGATAAACATTAATGCTGCCATGATTGATTTTAAATTGTATTCCTTTATAACACTAAATTATGCTCAATATTCTATATTAATAAACATTTAAGCATTCAGTTTTGAAATTGTCAAATCAATAAACATAAACAAAAAAGTTAAAATATTTAAATAACATTATTTACCTCATGTTGTCAGTCTGTACTTCACAATCAATTGTATCTGTAAAAAAATATATGAACCCATGTATAAGATTGGTCGCTTGCTTTGATTTGAGTCAATCTCGCGTCTCTAAATGATTTATTTGCGTTCTTAGAAAAACGTCATACTGCCTTTACAAATAAAGTTGATAATTCATACGCAAATTTAATAACAAAAGTGCTAAATCTCTATATTAGTTTTCTTAATTTCGATCTGAATTATGATTAAATATAAATAATGGAAGATCTACAACCGTCAATTTAGCTAAACTCGTAGAGAATTTGACTGTGAATCGTAAAAAACGGGTTCGATTCCCGAATTATGCAGGTCACTTTGTGACTGATTACGAAACTTTGTCTGCAATGTTTTGCACCGTACCTCTGTTTTACCATGAACAAAAGTAATAGCAAGCCCTTTGGAAAGCCATTTCACCTGTTTGACAGCCTGCCAAGAAATGATGCGGTGCCTGAACTATGCTCTAATAAATTCAAACATACTACCATTAAACTTACACATATACATGTACAAAAAATACATTTACGGAGAAATAAAAAAAATTAAAAAAATACATCTTAAATGGATCATTAAAATTAAAATTGTAAAATAGTATTTAGTTATAGTCTAAAACTGAGCTAAAGAAGAATAGCATATAATAGTTCATATAAATATATAAATACTTATATCCAAATGAAAAATATATGGCATTATTGCTTGCAAATTACCTTTGCTTCTTTTCTCGCTCTCGTTGACAGAGCTGCTTGTCAATTTTACAGTATGTGCCAAGAGTTGATGTGGTGGCATATGTGATTGAATCCTTTCGAATACCTTTGATTCTATTGTAATGATAACGGCTATCTGATTTATCTTAACAGCTGCATACAATCTGTCTAACTGGCTAAACCACCTATGCGCTTCAGCATGGTTAAACTTCACTCCACACAATGACTTGATGATTATTACAGGATGCTGCGAAAGATTTACAAACTTCAGCTCGCTTGGATCGGAGATAACGACAAAATTGTCTTCTCCATCGCTGAGGTCGTACAAGGGCAACAACTCAAATGAAAGGCTTGTTTTTCCACTTCCAGTTGGTCCAATGATAGCCACCATACTCTGATCTATGAACAGTCGTTTAGCAATTTCTTTTGCTTGATTGTCAACTTCCTTTGGTATGTATGCTTCTTTGAAAGTCTTTGCCATAGCTGCAAACATATATTTCAGGTCATAAATATACTAAACGTTTTCAGTAATTTCCTTTTCAAGGGAATAGCTCAGAAAGTATTAGAGAGATTCCAATGAAACTTAAAATATCAATGACTATAATTTAAAATCTTATATATTAATTTAAATATTCTCACCTTATGTACTTATGTGCATGTGCAGGTATAGTATTCATCATGATTTGGAACTTAAGTCCAAACTCATAGCTCTCACTTTTGAAAAATGCCATTGTGTCATCCCTGATGTGGGGGACATTGGTAACTCCGTTACAAATTCGTATTCAAATTAATAAAATATTAATAAATATTTTATATATATTTACATTAAGAGTTCATTTGCGCCTTGATTTGGAATATTTTGATTAGTATTTTGTAAATAATAATATTTTAATTTGGTGCAATTTTATGTTAAAAGTCTTTGATGAATGGAAAGGTTTTGTACCAGACATGAAACAGACCATATATTAGATCATGGAGATACGAGTCTGGGTTTCGTGCATGACGAGACATCTAATTATGGTTAACATTTGTGCCACATATTCTGTAGTTTTTTCTTTTCTTTTTAAAAACAAAAAAGTCCATTGATGGATAAAACATATTCTCAGTCAAGCAATATTGACTCTTTGGCGCCAAGTGTGACCTTTGTGAATGCAGTCTTGTTGTTTCGCATTACACGTTGCCTTTTCATTGCGATCATTTGTATCAGGTTATTATTAAATCCATTGATTAATGGCTGTGTTATGGTATCGGACATGAAGTGTAAAGGACGGACGGATATTTATCCCGAGTTGACGTGATGTTGTCTTCTCTTTGATCATCTATGATTTCAGAAACGTAATAAATTACGTTTTTTCACCTATAAGCGTCATTTTTAAGTACCTTAAGTACAAGTCTGAACGGAATGAATAAGAATAGTCATCCCATAATGTCACTTGAGTCAGTAATGACAGAGAGACGGACAGTCAGACTGACTAATTAACTCATTTTATGTCCCCATTTTACCCAACAGGCGGGAAACAATCAAGGTGGCATAGTTGTTAATGTGTTTACCTCAAGACTTCGTTTATTTGAAAATTACAAAAAGTGTCACTATCAAATAAATTCTACTTTTTCTTTATAAAACAGTTTTTACAAAAGGTTCATGTAAAACCTTTTATTTCTTTATTTTATTGTTTTATAATTACAACTTTTCCAAGTAAGACACAAAATGTTATGTGATTTCTATTGTTTATAGAATAAACTTACCTAGTAAATTCCTGTGTATGGTATCATCTACAACAAGACGTTTATCTGAAACATTCCAGAATGGCAAAATAACATTTTTATGTATAAATATGACATAAGTAGATATATTAGAACATATGCACCGTCTGATATGTTATGTATACCCTTGTGATTTAGACATAAATATGAAATACAGGGAAACGGTATATTCACAGCTCAGTTTTAACAAAAATATTTCATTTATTTAATTAAGGGCTTGGACAATATGATAGTTGCTTATATCCCGGAAAAGGCAAAATATTATAAAAATATGTATGAGAATGAAAGTAAGGAATGCGAATATGGGAAAAGCTTTACCGACTATATTGCTTGAATCAATTTCAACAACAGAGGATGTGCATAACATCTCATGATCTCTGTGATCTTTCGCTTCTTCAAGGTGTCTTTTGTTTGCCACAATCACGATATCGATACGGTCGTCATCCTTTTCTTGAGTTGCGCTGAGCATTTCGTCGATTTCGACAATCATTGCTTCATATTTTCTTTCATCATATTTTAACCTTCCAAATGGCTCGTTAAACAGAACAAGTTTAGCGTTCTCAGAGGTGATCAATCTCCACTCAGATGGGTCATTAATTTCTAAGCATTGATCAATGCATTGGTAGATTCCTTTTATTGCAGCATAAGCACATTTGTAATTCAGATCGTTATTGTTTCCCGTGACGATAACACGGTGGTTTTCATTTAGCTGCTTGGTTATAAGCAAAATATGGTGTCGATAAGACTCAGAACCACTAAAAGGCTTATTATAACCCTTTTTGAACTTATCTGAAATATTTCAAATTTCACGTGTTTCAATACAATTGATTTGTACAATTTTATAGAGAGATACATATTATTGCTTGATAATTAAATTCCTTACACGATAAAGGTTTGACTTTCAACAAAATTTTAGGTTTTTCAAGTAAATATAATCATTATTTTCGCGGTGAAATGTAAGGTAACTTTACAATTTTTTTCTTCAAAGAGAATAACTTGATTGCAATGCGAGGATGATATGATATCATATGAAATTAATATATAAACCATCATATGTTATTTTTGTTATTATGTTATTTGTACAAATGTAAAGGTAAATCTTAACAAAAGGTTGTAATGCTTTACAAAATCAATAGATGCTATGAAAGTCTTTTTTTGCTAGTAAATTAACTGGTTGCATCACCGCTTGCTTTGGAAATCACTTATTATTATGAAAAGTCAATTGCTTTAGAAAGTCAATGGTCGCGGTGGAAAGTCAAGAGTTGCGTTAAAATACAACTATTGCTATTGAAGCCCCTGGTTGCTATATAAGTAAATGAATGCAAAAAAGTCAGTATAGTTGCTTTGCAATAAATTGGTTGGTATGGAAAGATAATTGTTACTATAGAAAGTCGCTGCTTCCAGTAAATCACGTGTTGCTAAAGAAAGTTTACAGTTTTTACTGAAAGTTAGTGGTTGCTATGGAAGTCACTGTTTTCTATAGAAGTCATTAGTTCTATTCAAAATCACTTTTTGCTATGGGAAGTTACTGGTTGTTTTGGAAATACTTCGATACTAGCTACGGAAGTTATTTGTTGCGATGAAATGTCAATGGTTATTATGGAAGTTACTGATTTATTTAGAGTAAATGATTGCTATGTAGGTCACTTGTTGCTTTTGAAAGGCAACGATTGTTATAGAAGCGACCGGTTGCTATGGAATGACAATGGTTCTAAGTAAGTCACTGATGTATTGCATTGGTGGTAAATGATTTCTGTGTTGGTCACTTCTTGTTTTGAAAAGGCAACCGTACTATAGAAGTGGCCAGTTGCTATGGGAAGTCGAAGGTTGCTGTTAGTGTCACCGGTTACTATGTAAGTCACTGAATGCGATTGTTAAAGAGGAGTAACCGTATTAGGAATGTCGATGACTTCTGTGGAAGTCACTGTTTGCTACAGAAAGTCAATGACTGTTATTTAAATCAATGGTCGCTATGAAAGTCACTTGTTGGTATACATATTCGGAAAATCATAACCTTGCTTCGCAACTGTGGAGGCGTTTTAATTCTCATGGGTATAGTTTAAAAAAAACTTGGTAGAGGTTAACAATAAAATATTTCATGCTTTAGCTTTTGTTAGTTTTAACTGTATACATACATGGCTATATTTTGAACAAATTTAGACGAGACAATGTTTTCTGCAAAAAAGCCTTCTGTGGTTTTAGAGAGGAAGAAGCTTTTTTTTATATACATCTAAAGAAAAGCCTTGACCCCAGGATAATGATCAATATAAATATTTGAACATTTTTCGTTGTGAACTATACAATGTTTCAAGCAGAAAATCAAAGCTTAGGTCTTCATGCTTTAAGAGAGGGTATTTTTTAAAAAGTTATACACATAAATGAAATATTTTAATAAAAACTTGATATAAATCTACTAGACAATAGTTCATGCTTTATGTCAAAGCTCTTGTTGTGTTAGAGAAAAAGCTTTGTAGTTTCAAGTTGTAGAATGTTTTAGAATAATTAAACAGTAAGGCATGATCATCTTTGGCAGATGTTAAATGTAGTAAAAATATTTAAATATTTTAATATAAGTCGTATACTTGTAAAACCCTAGATAATTTCCATCGATATTGGCCAAATAATATATGAGGAAAAAAACGCTTGAAAACAAACTGACGACGGACGATGATTGGTGCCGGAAAAATGTTAACAACAAAAGCTTAAATTCGTGCCCAAGCGTGCTAAATCTGCCTTTTTTCAAATTTCAAACTGATATTTCGCCATCATTTTTATGTAATACATTAAAATAAAAAGAAAGTGTGTACACTAACCTTCCATATTTTCGATCCTACTGTCATAAACATTTAAAGCCTTTGTAGCAACGCCTGAAATTGTTCAAAAAAAGACAATTAGCAATAACCTTAAACATTTAAGATGTGAAGTTATCATTTCTGTAAATTACGCTTCTCCATAATTAGCTTCAATCTACCTAGGTACTAATCTTATTGTGAATAATGCTTCGGGCGAAATTAAGTAGGAACATTTTGTTAGAAGTTTAGAGTTATCAATTTAGTGCATTACACTGTTAATCAATCATAACAATGATTCATATACTCATGAAGTAATTTCATCTGATAGCATTTTCGAGTTATGCCTAGGAAGAATTGAGGTTGATATATTGTGCACTGCACTCCCTTAGGGAATAGATCCATCTATAAACTTGATTATCTAACGTGTCCATTTTTTCCTCTGGACAAACACAAAAACGTCAGAAAAATAAAATGAAAATAAGTCTAACATTTCTAGCTATGCTCTTGACAAAAACACATTAAGGGTAGAATTATAATTATTGTGCACTGTACTGTTCTTAACGATCCTTCTACCTATTAAGTTAAAAACATATGGGACTGGAGGGCGGGAAGACGTTTACTAAAAACGTTTTCTTCTATGCCGCCTTTTCTGTGGAAGAAACAAATCAGCTGAGAACACTTTTGTGTTGAAAGCATATATATTTATGATAAATAGAAAACACACTAGTAGTAAGTAAGTTAATTGAACGTTTAGGAATATCAGTTCCTAAAAAACAAATACCTGAGCGTCCCTGTGTTTTCCTGGATGCTTTTAGAAGTATAGTTTTTGATTTTGCAGACGTAGCCCCAACATTTCGTATCTTTGAGCTTTGTTTTTTTAATTCCTCCTCCAGTTTCTTGTTTTGTAAACTGAGTTGTATATACAAGACTTTGTGCCATGTTCGTAAAACATCTCCAAGATTCGGCATATTTTCTGTTAAAGACTTCTTAATTTCTTCTTCTATCGAACTTTTTTCAGGAGCTCCAGCGCATTCCGCAAGCTTTAAGACTGCCCTTTTGAGATTTTCCCACAACAAATCAAACTGTTCTGCTTCAATACACTCAGTGCCTGAAATATGCTGCAGGTCGTTACGAGTAGTTGTAATTTCATCGATACAACGTATTTCACTACAATCGAGCTCAGTCTTAAATAAACCTCTCAATAAGGCTGATAATAACGTAATGTCCCATGTCTGAATATCTACGATCCCGTCAGACGGAAAAATGTGATCACACTGATCGGTGCTGATTTTGTTACGGCTTTTCAATGTATCAATATCTTGTTTGCGAAACACAAGGTAGTCTTTTAAAGTTGTGTATTGGGTGTTTTTATCTTGTTTTGCCTTACTGATAAAAAGGCCACGCAATGGCTTCGGACAAATGTTTATTACAAATGTTACCAATCGGTAGTACCTGTCAGACATTCTGAAAAAAGAAACACCAGCAAATTAAAACAATTTTAAGATATGTCGAAGGAAAGAGTCTAGTTTGTTGTGCAAACATGTAATTGTTGATCTTAACTTTATTATATTGTATATACATTTTGAGGTCCATACAATGTAATACTATATCATATTCTTACCGTATGTGACAAGAATAAAGTAACTGAAAAAGAAATCTTAATTTAATTAAGTGTTAAATTTTATCATCGATGGGATAAATGTATTTTTCGATATACCTGTATCGGTGCTTAGTGTAAGCAGAATAGTCTTTTTCTATCCACGTAATTACTAACAACAGGGCGAAATGTGCAAAATAGCTTTTACTGCGATAGTCACACAGTAGAAATAGGGTTATTTATTATATACTACAAACCCACTCATTAAGTGTACTAGTTTTTATATTTTTATTTGCATCTTGAATCGTTTTACTTTTATTTAAATGTCAGTACATTTTTCTCATGATTTATTTTCTTGAAATACTTTTGTTAATCTGGAGGCATGCAGTTTAAATCCTTTGTATACAAGGTCATTCTGAAAAAAATATATATATCTTAACCTGGTTTGTTACATTTAATTTACCTAAGTGTTTAAATGAATATAGACGTATACATTTTATAAACCAAAATATCCTGTTATCTTTATCAGTGACAAATTTTAAACATTACGTGCAAAAACATTTATTTATTATTATTTATAGTAATATTTGTTTTGAACACAATCACTTTAGTGTATAGAGAAATTAAATCAATACAGAAATCTAAGGATTTTGAGGTAACTGATTTTAGTGCATGTAGTCACATGATCATCAAAAACATTGAATATGTAAGTAGTCACACGTTTACAGGAAAATTGATACACAAAGACTTATATGAATTATAAAGCTGACTCAACGTACAAAAGTTTAATTGATATTGACTGGATTCTTTATTCTCCGTAAAATGTTTTTAAATTACAAAGTTATTGAAATATACTATTATATATCTGTATTGATTTTATGTTCATATGTATGTGAACGTAATTGATATACTTGCATGGTTTGAGCTTATGAAAATGCGTTTACGAGATATTATGTATTCTTTTACACTGCGCAGACGGTTCTCGGTCTATAACATAGCAATTTTGAACATACTGTCTATGCTCGTTTAAACAGTCGTTTATGTTGATAAACCATGTCAGTACAAACCTGTACCTTTTTTATTTTATTTACGTCCCCGTATCTGCTGTATAGCTTAACCACAATTATTTCACAAAGTATTAAACAATTTGAAAGAAAATAATGTAATCAATAAAAGGTAAAAGTGATATTGCGAAATCTCAAAAATGATAAAATCGCTGCGTATGCAAAATTGTAACAAGCACTTAAATAGAAGTGCGTATTTTTTAAAATACAGGAGTGTTTAGTTGCTGAGTCACACAATGTCGTATCGTTGCGATTTTGCCACGAAAATGCGAAAAATATGGAATCGAAAAGACACACAAAATAACAAAAGAAAAGGCATGCAATAAATTGTATTTTAATAACTTTTTTTTTTCTTAATTTATACAAATGTATATTATCTTGTTACAACCCAATGAATACATTAATACAACATATTCACATAGAGATATGTGCGAATATGACGAGTGTTTATAATAAATATATTTAACTTACAATTATATGCACATAATTTTAGGGGATAAATATAGTTGAGAGTTCAAAATTGAAATCCTGGTTTCAAAGCTGGATATATGGCATACATTTTTGTTACAATTAGAAAATAACTCAATAAAATGAATTTAAACATAGATAATAGTACCCCTTTAGATGTTGTCTGTATAAATCTACAAACTTTGGACAAAGACATATGAAATGGTACACATCCTCCAAATCTAAAACATTACAGCACTGGCAATATCTAAAAGTTCAAGAGGAATGTTATTAATGGCATAACTTTCAGTTTGTTTTCTGAGGGGATGAACAGATAATATCTTAATCTCACAAAAAATAATAATACTATTCTTAACTCGCATGGTAAAATGTTAAGATAATGTACCTAACAAAGACATAACTTAAATTGTAATTAAAAAAAAAATCAAAAGAAATTTGATCTATACATAGATGATATGTCTTTGATTTGCATGAAAGATCGAAATATATTTCACTGAGTGGACACCAGATGCAATATTTTAATGAAGGTGAAAATATAATAGCTGGTGTCCGCAAATGAAATATCTTTCAATATAACAGCAAAACAAATACATTTTCTATTTATTCTCATGCTATGAATTGGTTTTAAGTCATTGTTTGCCGCGTAACGTCATGCGTTCTTCTTCGTGACGTCATCACATCATGACACCACCAAACAATGCTGCAATTTTGTTCTGTAAATTTTCTAGATTTTTGTTATATTTCTCACAAAATGTATGCAGTTATTCACTTGCTTCTAAAGAAGCAAAAGTTATATGTTATATGTCGTAATTTATTCCAGTGGATAATTCTATTTATATATGAAATATTAGTTTCATTCGTATTTAAATACTGGTCGGAGAGATAACTCTGACGCATAGATAACTCCGACACTTTATAAATACAATTGTTATAACTTTGTTTTTCAACAAACAAGCACATGGTCACCTAAAAGTATAGGAACAGGACAGAATGGGGTGATTTTTTTATAATTTGGTAAACTTTTAATGTTTTTCAAATAACCTAAACTTTTCGTAGGCAAAACTGCTTCAAATTACTAAATTACAATAAGGTAGATAGAATTGTATTGACCACAGGCCACTGACTTGGGAAAGATTTTTGAAAAATTGTTTGAATATTCACAAAAATAGATAAATCATATAAGATGTAAAAATAAATTATTGATGCAGATTTTCAGTCATTTTTTCCTTAGAAAATTAAGTGTCGACTTTATCTACTGTTGTGGGGTAAAAAGACCATGTTTTGTATACCATATTCAGGACCTTAAAGAAGTACCAGATTCCATTTTCATACATTATTTTTGTAGTGTAATGTAAAGTCTTTGATCTGAACTTTGTATAGGTGGTTCATTATTAAGATATTAATACACGGCAGAGTAGGGCCGGAAGGTGATAATCGGCCCGCAAAATGATTACTGGCCCTGAGGGCTTCATCCCGAGGGCATTATTCATTTCAGGGCCGATTATCACATTCCGGCCCTACTCTGCCGTATATTAATGTTTTTAATACACTTGGTAGATCTAATTGTAGCATTGTTTAAAAAAACATATACTTTGAAGTTCTTTCGATGAAATTCTTGTCTACACTTTTACTGTTCTGTACAGAGTTGATTACTGTTTGTGTGTTCAAATCGGTAGAATCTACATCATTTTTTTTTTCGAAATAAATTTGTCGTATTATTTCTTCAAATTTCAGTAGTAACAAAAATGTGTTTATACGAAATACGCTTAAGCTCTCATAATAAAATAAACATTCGGAACTGCCTCGGCTTTTATCTATCCGAAGACTAACGGAAAGGGTCGAGTAGTTGCGATTGTAAAATAAAGCGATTCGTGCTGATAACCTACTTTCTACGTGACACTCATAATCAGTTGAAATCATAGGCAATCGACTTTGGATCGAAGTTGATTATATGTCACGACATCAAAATAGTGAAAAGGAGACTCTCCAAAGAACGTCTAACATGCAAAATTGAAAATATTTTGCATGCTTTGTTACCCGAAATACATATCAACATTTTTAAATTATGTCGGTAGGATGTAATGGCAGATTTAAGTAGAATCTCAAAAAGAAGTATTGACTGCGTTATTTCCCTTTGCCCTAGTTAATAACCCTTACATCTTATTTGTTTAACAGAAAATGATGAAAATACTTGAAATTACCCTAAATCGCGTTTTTTTCATGTTTAAACATGGCCTGTCATATAAATTTTAAGAAAAATTGTTGTTTTGTAGATTTTTTTATTTTTTTCATTAACCCATTACTTCATGAGCATTTTGTGAAAAATGGCTGTTTTCATTGAAAAGTCTCCCGTTACAAGTTCAAATTGCTATAATACTATTAAAACTGCTTCAACACTAATCAAACTTGGCACAAATGTTGACTGGACCATTGCCCTTTCAACAACATGCTCAGGCTTAAATTTTCTGTTACCATGGCAACGAGGGGACATCTCAAAATTGCCAAAAATCACTATTTTTCGTTGATTTTTTCCATCAAAATTGATTTCAAAGTGCTGCAATTTCTCAATGGATTGAGATAGAGTCAAATGCTTTTCAGCGTTGGTTACACGTTACCTTATGATCAATCTGAGGTCATTTACAGCCTCTCACAAGTCCACAATTTTCTTGGCGATGAGGGGGACTCCACCCCCTTCAAACCCCTCAAACAGAAGGGGGCACATTCCCCTTCTGGCAACCCCCTGATGTATCTTTTGGTTGGGGGGGGGGGGGGCGCGCCGAAAAAGAGGTCACTTTTTTAACAACATTTCTCAAACAAAAACAAGTGTTTGGGGCCTAATTAAGGCAATTTTTCATCATTTGAGACAACAAAAGGGCGGGGGGGGGGTGAAAAAGGCGGTAAAAGGCGTGTATATGAAGTAATGGGTTAAGATAAACAATCGTATTTTGTTATTTTATTTCTTAAAGTTTTTTTCTTTTTCATTTCCATTCTAGTTTTTCTTATTTTTATTATATCATCATAACAACGGACAAAATAAGTATCGTAAATGAAAAGGAAAAGCATGGAAACTCAGGTGAATTTCAAATCGAAGCTATATCAACAACACTACAACAACAACAACAAAGGAATGGGAAATCCAAATTAATTTTTTGAACATCATCATTATTGAAGCCTACGGAAATATTGAAAAGTAAGTGCAATTTTTTGCAGGTACTGTAAATGCATATAAAACTTAAAGGCACTCCACTGAGGTTTTTCGACATGACGGGACTGGAAATATTTTTTTGAGATTATTACTCTATTTGATGTAGATCTATACTTATAACTTATGTGCA